AAAGAGTAGGCCGTGTCGTGCTGGAGTCACGTTAAAACAAAAAAAAAACTAGTTACGTTTTAAAGTTACCTGCAAATTAATGAATTTGGTTAAGACAGATTGCAACATCGCCCACTACGAATCAACCTACCTGCCGACAGGGTCGGATTAATTCGTGGGGGCTTTAGAGGCTGCAGCACAGGGGCCTCCGCCAGCTGGTGGGCCTCCAGAGATGAAGTGAAAAGTAATTCAGCATTTGTGAATGCTGCATTTTATTTGTTGCTAACCTTGTGAAAATAAATGTTTTTTTATTTAACCTTGTTTTCCTTTTGAAAATATTACTGGGGGCCTCAGTACCTGTAGCCCCGGTGCCTAGAAAATCTTAATCCGACCCTACGTGCCTACCCCAAGTCTACACGCTTACCTGCCTATCTGAGAGCCTACGAGCCTACCTAAAAGTCTACACGCCTACCTGAAAGCCTGCAAGCCTACCTCCCTACGTGTAAGTCCACAAACCTACCTACCTGTCTACCTGAGAACCTACAAACTTCACCTACCTGCAGTTGTCCGGAGAGGGCCATTCCTCGCCCATGAGTTTTGAGAGGGACGAGGCCAGTATCGTGGTAGGCGTCAACCCAGGATGACAGCTAACAGGCGTCTCACTTTCACTGGATCTCTGACAAGGGCCCTCACCAGGTTAAAGATAGGGCCCAGCGCTGACTCGCATGACTGATGGGGCTGACACACCGGCATTTCTGTCGGTCATTCTAGGGGATAGCTTGCAGTGAAACATCAATGTGTGCCCGTGTGCGCGCGTGTGTTTTCCCCTTCCTCTTTAAACATTTCTGACCTTTGCTCCGGGGCAAGGTGCAGTGCAGGGGTGTGCGGTGAACCCATCTGTGGCCCAACCCAAGCCCCTCCCCCTGCCCCCAGTCCTCTGTGTGTGACCTTGGGCCAGACTTGGGGAAAATTGGTGTACGATTCTCGTTTAAGGCACATTCCTAAGCAGTGCAGAGCGAGGGAGGGGGGTGGGATTCTAACTTATGCCCAGACTCGTGTGTCTGTTAACGTATGTGCGCGTGATAGTGTAGCGGTTAGCGTGCTGCGCTATGAACCTGGCGGCCCGGGTTCGATTCCCGCTCACGGCCAACACCAGTGACGATTATCTGAACCGGTCCCGGGCCCTCCCCTAGGTCGACTCAGCCTCAAATGAGTACCTGGTGCGGTGTGTAAACATCGTCACTAGGGAGACAAAGGCGGTCGGGCGTGGTGCTGGCCACCCACCCCCTCGTGTACCGTTCCGGCCTTCATAAGTGCTCGCTAACAGCACTTGCCCTTACAGTCTGTTAAGGCTATACGGGGGATCTTTGTGTGTGTGGTAGAGCAGTGGCGTAGTGGTCAGCGTTACAGAGCTAAGAACCTGCTCACTCACAATATCAGTGGCGAATATTTGAACCAGTCCTGGGCCTCCCCTAGGTCGACTCAGCCTTAAAGAATTCGTTCTGCCGTGTTTCAAATCTGATTTGTGCTCGCGAATTCGGTCAGAGACATGTCTTTTCGTCTTCCCGACATGTCTCTGACCGAATTCGCGAGCACAAATCAGATTTGAAACACGGCAGAACGAATTATTCTGCCGTAGCTGATCACTGTTACAACGCTGTGGGTGATCACGATATAATTTTATCCGATACCAAGGTTCTTTGCAAACCCACGGGTTTTTATCAGAGATTTGTTCACGAGGCAATTCAGATCTACAAACACAGACACAATTTCAACCGAGAAGATGGTTTCAAATTAAGCAACCATTGGAAAAATGTTCTAAATCGAACCAAACATTAAACTAATTTTCAATGGTACAGTATATTTTTTCAAGTAGTGGTACCCCAAACTTTCGCAGCACATGCAGGTGCATGTGCACCCGCATGTTCACCCTCTCTACACCTTTCATCATACTAAGTCCGCCAATTAAATGCAAAATTTTTATGCTAATTCCTTTGTCAAGGCACCTTAATCCCTCTCACACAGCTTAAAGGCCGTGGTCTAAGCTTGGCTGTGTTTCACTCCAGCGCAGTCTTCGAGACAGTCTGGTCCCCTTCACCTGATGAAGGCCGCTTGTGTTGTGGCCAAAACGTCGTGATTTTTTGTTGTTTTATTTTTTACCTACGTGACTTTACCGAATAGAACCAAAGAGTATGGATCCTTGCAGTCACGAAAGCTTCAAATCTAGACACGAAACGTGTTGTTGTTGTTATTGTGTCATTGTGCACCACTGGCAAAGCAGCAGCAGCATCGTTAAGTGTTTTAACTTTTTTGTGTGAGTTAAGTATGGCTTAGTAAATTTGCACATGATGAAGCCACTTGGTCGACCTATTATTTGTGATGGCCAGGTCACTTCTGAAAAAGAGCCTCAACAGCTCAGCGGGCCTTACCTGGTCAAATAAAAAATAGTTTTAATAAGATAATTTTAGTTTTACTATAAGAACTTTAGTGCCCCCAACCTCGTCCGTCACCCCCCCCCCCCCCTTCCTTAAGTTTGCGTATGACCCACCCGCAGCACCCACCTTTAAAACAAAGTCACTGTAGCCTTGATAGCGTTTTCAATATTTACATTAATAGCCGAAAGTTGTAAACATGTTTTTTTTATAAACCGCAAGTCCCGCGGGAAGTCAGGGGAAAGAAAGTGAGTTCATGATTGCAGGTTAACAAACGCCTCATTATGTTCAAACAATCGGCAACAGCGCTTGTTGTGAACCTCGAGGTTTCAAAATATGCTCGGAGATGCAAACACTGTGGGTACACACACACACACGTGTGCGTGTGTGTGAGAGAGAGAGAGCTTGCTGTGGTTTATAAACATCGCCACTGGGGAGACAAAGGCGGCCGCGCGTGGTGTAGGCCACCCCGAACCCTCTCATATGCCTGTGCCGGCCTTCAGGGGTGTTACTCGCTAACAGCACTTGCCCCCAGCAGTCTGTGAAGGCTACACGGGGGACCTTTGTGTGAGCTCGTGTGGGGAGCGGTGGCGCTGTGGTTACGAACCCGGCGACCCAAATTAAAAAAAAAATCTCGCTCGCGACCAATAACAGTGGCGAATATTTGAACCGGTCTCGGATCTCCCCCTAGGTCGACTCGGCCTTAAATTAGTAGCCTGGCGCGGTGTGTAAACCTCAGCACTGGTGGAGACAAAGGCGACCGGGCGTGATTCTCATCCCACCACCCCTTACCCAGCCGTTGACACGGCCCTGGGCTTGCACCAGAGGTTCACGGTTCGAATCCAGCGGCCGCCCTCATCATTACTGCGCGGTGTAACGACCGTATACACCGTGCGTACGTTGCACCTCTTTCGCACCGTACGTTTGCCAACCGTGTCAATTCGGAGGTGCGGGAGACCCTAGCAAAGCCACGCCCAGCGACAATCGCTCCCTGCCGGCAGACTGATGCCCCCTGGTCACTCATCCCTGGTCCCCAGAGCTTCTCACCACCTGGGCTGAACATTCCAAACGTTGAAGCCACTAACAAGGTGAAGGCGCGGCCCTGCGACTGCTTGCAGGAGCCACCGCTGCTGGGTGGAAAGGGTCACCGCGTTCGGGAGCCTCGAAGAGGTCCTCTCGAGAGTAACTTGAGGGCCTACTCTTCCACGCTTGGGAGGTGAGTTGGTAGGTGAAGGGGGGTGGGGGGATTACCCACACTTTACACCGCAAAATTACTCAATTAGGATCACGCAGCAGCAGTGATCATTCGCCCCCTCTACTGGCAGACCAATGGCCCCAGGTCCCAGGGCCGTCCATTAGAGGGGTGTGTGGGGACCGTGGAAAATCCCATTGTGTGGGCCACCCTGACGCCTTCAAACTAAACCGGTATTACAAGTACCGTATTACGTCTGATGTCGAAGCGCGCCGCCCCCCCACCTCCCCCCAAAGCACGGGGCCTGGGGCGGTCTCCACCGATTCGCCGTACCCTCGGGACGCGCTCCGCCCAGGTCACTTTTGCACAATGAGACTCACACCCTGCCCGCGTGAGTTCTCACCGCCTCGTTACAACAACCACGACGACAAAAAAAAAACATCAACTTAATTCCATAACAGGCGCTCGCTGAAAGAACTTTGTTCGCAGAACCGTCCCATGTCTGACCGACGCGCGACGCTGGGAAGGGGTCGATGGGTCGTTACGCAACGCACGTACAGTGCCGCCGCTTCTGCAGCTGCGATTGCCGATTTATTTGATTAATTTTCGTTTCATTGAATCCACGTGGGTTCCTCTCCCACCTCTCTCACTCGCCATCACCTCTCTCCTGCTCCCCGTCTCTCTTCCACCACCTCTCACACTCTGTCTCTCCCTCCCCCCTGTCACTCCTCCCTAACCTGTCACTCTGCTCATCACGTTCACTCCCTCTGCTCAGCCTCTCTCACCTCTCACCTCCTATCCCTATCACCTATCTTGCCCCTGCCCCCCCCCCCCATTTCCCTCCCTCTCTCCTCCCTAACCCCTCAAACCCTCTCCATCCCGCTCTCTCTCTCACTCCCTCCCTCTCTCTCTCGCTCCATTCCCTTCGCGTCTCTCAAAATGAAAGTCGCCCCATTTGTGAGTGTGGTGAAGGGGAACTCTGTTCACCACGTAACCGACCATTGCCTATGACACGCGTACACCGGAGGCAAATGGGGGGGGGGGGCATTATGCACCAAGCAACTCGTGATGCCATCGCATGGATTACCAATGTCAACACAACAGTTATGTCTTTTTTTCTCCCAGTTTCCTTAAAATGCTATGCAAGAGACAGAATGATCTCTTCTCCCTCTGCCCTCTCTCCCTCCTACCCTCTCTTTCACCCCGCCTTCCCCCCGATCCCTCCCACTCCCGCTCACCCCCCTCTCTCTATTCCCTTCATCTCTCCTCCCTCTCCGCTCCCTCCCTCTTCTCCATCCCTCCCTCTCTCCTCCCTACCTCTCACCCCACTCCCCCTCGCTCACCCTTCATCTGCCCCCCCCCCAAACCCCGCCCCCTGTCTCCCCCACCTCTCTCTCCCTGTAGAGTCGCTGCCACTGATCACGCAGGCGCAGCACTCATCATCAGGTCGTTTCGCGGCGCGTGGAGAGCAGAGAGACCTCCCGGTGAGTGGGGATGTGTGAGAGTGCGTGAGAGGGTGTGAGAGTGTGACAGTGAGTGTCAGGGTGAGTGGTGATGTGTGAGAGTGCGTGAGAGGGTGTGAGAGTGTGACAGTGAGTGTCAGGGTGAGTGGGGATGTGTGAGAGTGCGTGGGAGGGTGTGAGAGTGTGACAGTGAGTGTCAGGGTGAGTGGGGATGTGTAAGAGTGCGTGATAGAGTATGAGAGTGTGACAGTGAGTGTCAGGGTGAGTGGGGATGTGTAAGAGTGTGTGAGAGAGTATGAGCGTGTGACAGTGAGTGTCAGGGTGAGTGGGGATGTGTAAGAGTGTGTGAGAGAGTATGATAGTGTGACTGTGAGTGAGAGTGTCAGGGTATGCGAGTGAGTGGGGGTGTGAGAGAGTATGAGAGTGTGGCAATGAGTGACGGTATGTGAGAAGAGTTGGACAGAGGTTGTGACAGGGGTGGGTGAGAGTGTCTGAGAGAGTGCGTGAGAGTTGAGTGTAAGAGCGAGAGTATGTGAGAGAGTGAGTGAGTGTAAGAATGAGAGTATGTGAGAGAGTGAGTGTAAGAATGAGAGTATATGAGAGAGAGAGTGAGTGTAAGATTGAGAGTATGTGAGAGAGTGAGTGTAAGAATTAGAGTGTGCGGGTGTGTGAGAGTGTATGGCAGTGAAGGAGTGTGTGACAGGGTTTGTGAGGGTGAGAGGGTGGGTGACGAGTGTGAGGGTGTGTCTGAGAGTGTGAGGGTGTGTCTGAGATGTGTACAAGAGTGACAATGTGAGCGTGTGAGGAGTGTGTGCTTTTTTTACGCATGAGCTTGTGAGGGGAGCGGTGGCGCAGTGGTTAGCGCGCTGCGCTGCGAATCGAGCGTCCCGAGTTCCATTCACGTTCATGGCCAACATCGGTGACGAATATCTGAACCGGTTACTGAGCCTCTCCCAGGTCGACTCAGCCTTAAATTAGTACCTGCTGCGATGTGTAAACTTCGCCACGAGCGAGACAAAGGCGTCCGGGCATAGTGCTGGCCACCCACTTCCATCGTGTGCTGTGCTTATCTTAACAGGTGTTCGCTAACAGCACTTGCCCCAACAGTCTGTTAAGGTTATACGGGGGGTCTTTGTCTCCGTCAGTGATACCCAGACACTCAGCAGACAGAGATCCTCTGATGCACAGATACTCGCACGCAATCAGACATCCACCTGTTTAGCCTGACAGGCTGCAGAGGCAAGTGCTGTTAGCGAGCTCCTATTAAGGCGGTCGGGGCTTTCAGATCCACACGTGCGCGACCGCCTTTGTCTCCCTGTGTCACCACTTATTGTTATGAGGGTGTGTGGAAAGTTTGTGCGTTGACTGAGATGACTGGCAGATGCATGCAACACAACCTGTGCTCCCTACTGCGTCAACTCGATGCGTTTCATCTCAGTCAAACCCGTGGCACCTGGGTCTGTTCCATGACCTCCAGCCTCTGACACTTCACGTGCTCTCAAAGTGACCCTAGCCTGGCACAAGCTCATTGGTGACGCCACCGCTACATAGTGGCGAATAGCGGTTGTTGTTGTTGTTGAGTTTGTGCGCGAGAGTCTATAACGTCTGGTATGATAGCGGCCCAAATCAGTGGCGATTTCTTTAACGAGTCCACTAGGTCGACTCAGCCTTAAATGAGAACCCGGCGCGGTGAGTAAACATCAGCACTGGGGAGACAAAGGCGGCCGAACCTGGTGTACGGCGCCGATCTTCAGGGATGTCTCGATAGCAGCACTCGCCCCAAGCAGTGTGCTGCTAAAGGTTATCCGGGGAGGGATGTTTGGCGTCTGTGTTTGTAATTTGTGGCACTCCTTCACCGTCACGCGTCTCCGACAGGCAGCGAGCGGCATGGGAAGAAGAGGAGGAGGGGCTTAGAAGAGGTGGGCAGAGAAGGGGGAAAGCAAAGGACAAGAAGAGGAGAAGGAGCGGGACTCGGACGATATAAAGCGGACCATTAAAGAGAATAAGCTAGGAACGAGAAAACCAAGAATACAATTCGTCATCCATTGGTATCGGGACAAACAGAATGAGAGGAAGTGGCGTTTAAATGCAAGAACGAGATTAGGGATCGGGAGTTCTAGGAGCGAGACTAAGCGGAGTTACCGAAGGTATACAAATACACGAGGGAAGAGGAGGAGGAAGAAGAAGGAGGAGGGGGAGATTTAACGAGAAGTGAAACTGAGAAGAGGAATAAAATAACAGCAACAAGAGGAGGTAAAAACGCATAACTCGAGGAATGAGAAGTCACATCGCGAGTGGGGAGAATTAAAAGGAACGAAACTTGGCAAGTGAAGAGAGAGAGAAGCGCAAGACAAGAAGAGCTACTGGGAAGAGGACTTCGTGGAGAGAGAGGGAGAAAGAGGAGGGGAAAGCGACGAGGTAGAGAGCGACTCTAGACAAAGCAAGGGGTGGGGGGGGTGGAGAGACGACACGCGGACAGAGCGAGGGAGGTTCTGACAGCGAGGAAGAGAAAACCCGCAAACATCTCGTTCGCAACATTAAAGGAAGATAAGCAATTAAGAGGAGAAAGAGTGACAAACAGGTGAAGAGATACAACGAGAGAGATAAGGGGCAGGGAGAGGGAGGAAGGACGGGAGGGACCGACTGACGGCCCAGCGAAGACTTTCAGCAGAACGCGAGACGCATTTCTTTTTTTAAACGGTGCCGTGTGCAGAGCTTGGAGGCGCGTGTTGATGCACGGATAATTGGTGTGCACGTGGGGATAAGACACGTGGTGTTTTCCATTTGTGTTTTTTTTGGTATTCCGTAAAGTTCGAGGTTGATTTGCTCCACCGGGCCTTAATAGGTGCTCGCAAAGTGCAACGCGATCGTCATTATTGTTATTGGCGCGGCTGTGTGGAGAGGGGAATGCGTCGATCAGCCGGCTGGGTCCGCGTCGCAGCTAACTCCAAGAGCGTTCGACGTTCCGACATCGGCGAGTGAAAAGATGCGCACAAGCGATTAATCAGCGTGAAGGCATCCATCGACACCATTGATTACTCAACCATCCAGCTAGCTGCACATACATCGCCCACTCGTCCTCGATCGCAAACTCTCCACCCATAACTCATTACACAACGCACGCACATCCACGGCTCGCCATCACTGACCAACCACGCTTATCCACCCGTTGCTCACCCATCAACCCATCGCTCACCACCTCCATTACTCACCTGTCCACCCATCATTGACCTATCACCCGCTTATCCACCCTTCACTCATCCTTCACCTACTTATCCACCCATAACTCACCTCTCCATCACCTACTTATCCACCCATATCTCACCTCTCCATCACCGATATATCCACCCATCACTCACCTCTCCATCACCTACTTATCCACCCATCATTCACCCACCCATCACCGACTCATCCACCCATATCTCACCTCTCCATCACCGATATATCCACCCATAACTCACCTCTCCATCACCGACTCATCCACCCATATCTCACCTCTCCATCACCGATATATCCACCCATAACTCACCTCTGCATCACCGATATATCCACCCATCACTCACCCATCGCCGACTCATCGCACCCTCCACTGACCCCATCACGCAGCCGTCACCCGCCCATCTCTCGGGGCCACGGAACATCTGCGAGTCCTGCCTCTCACATTCGCCAGCACGCATCTCCCAAGGAAGAAACAAGAAAAGTCTTCGACACCGGACGACGCACCGGTCCTTACCTGCGCGTAACCTTAACGCAGCGAAACACTCGCGCGCACGTGTCCATACACCTGTGCACGCGCGTGCGCGCGTGTGTGTGTAAGAGCACCTGTCTGTCAAATTGTGCGGCGGAACCAAATCAAGATGCCTCGTGTTCTCCGAGACTCCAGAAGCGGTCCTGTTCCCTCTTCCATGGTTCACGTCGTTATCTTCATCATCTTCGCCGTGACACCAGTGTCTGCAAAGACGTGGAATTATAACAACAACCATCAGTACAACTATCACCAGCAACAGCAGCAACAGCAGCAACAGCAGCAACAACAGCAACACTATCAGCAACATTACCAGCATCATCAATCGAATCAACAGCATCATCAGCAGCAGCAACAGCAGCAGCACGTGCAGCAGGTGCAACTGTCATCGCAGCAGCAGCAGCAACAGCAGCAGCATTACCTGGTGTCTAACGGGAAGGAGAACGGTCGGAATAGGTGAGTGATGATTGTGGTGATGTCACGATGTTGACGGATTGACTGAGCTTGTTGCTATTAATGCATTTTGTTTTAGTCATGCGTTTGTTTGGTGTCGTGGCCCAGTGGCAAAAGCACGCGCGCTCGCCACTCGTTGCAGATGTTCGCGGTTCGCTTCCGACAGGCCGCCCTGGTCAACGCGACGGCTTGTACTCGCCAAAAAAGATAGGCGCCGTCTGCTTGACAGTACACGTTAACGTTCCCGTGACGTTATTCTAGGAACAGTAAGCCATCGTGTGCCGGCGTCATGGTCCAAACTTTACAACAACAACAAATGATCCGTGCATAAAATACTTTATTTGGAAACGCCGGGCAATGCGTCACCACCTCCTACAAAAACTTAGCAGCACCTCTCCCAGAGAAGAGTCCTATAAATACTCATTGAGGCGTTTGCTGGGTCAACAGTGTGCAGAGGAGAATGATCATGATGACGATGATACACTCTAATCGTTCTTACAATTGTCCGTAGCACGAGTGGCTTGAATCATCTCGAAGCTTTATCCTTCAACGCCCAGGGGCGTTTTTATTTTTCCATACCGGGTGTAACGTACCTCGCTCTGTCCGCCAGGCGGCGCTCCGGACAATGTTGGTTAGCGTGATGACGAATTCTTGGTCACGCGTCTTTATGTTTTTTTTTACACTTAGGTCAAAGGTGGTAACAATGGTGGTGGTCCTTGATATAGTTTCTTTTGGGTTAGATCGCGTAAATATAAATGTGTCGTCGTTAAACCCGCTACCACCCAACACAGCCAATTAGTAAGGTTTGTGACGTAAACAGAACGTGGCCAATTCGTTACGAGTACAGCACACCGGTGTGTTGGAGAGCAAAACCACAACATTTACAATCTGAGTTCGACGTTTCGCCAGTAATTACGACTGAATTTTTCGCGATCTATCCAAATTTTGTTTTATTATGGATGATATTCGTCGCGAAAGCCTACATGTTAAAGGTGGTGGCCCATAGCTCAACACTTCATCCATACACTTACAACCTGTAGTCATTACTATATTTTAATTGAGTTAACAAAAAACTCAACACATTCGCCAACAACGATATGAGCTTTAAAAAAGCAAGCGATATAAAAGGCGCCGTTTAATGCACGGACTCAACTTCTCAGCCCATAGATATAGAGGCCAGTAGCAAGATAGCAGGGATAAGAAGTTGGGGTTCTGAACTTTTACATCATGGGACCTGATGAGAATTACAATTTAAACATCCTTTCTGATGCCCAGTTTTTTTAATCACATTGGCATTGGCATATGTACAGTTACCGAATAGTCGATGTTGGAAAACGAGACAACCCCTTCAGTAATTGCAAAATATTACTGCCAAACAAACGCATTCACATTGAAAGTAAAACGTATCACATGTTGCTGGTACATTGCATTGTGGGAAGGGTTTGTTATTGTGAGAATAAGACTCAAACCACCTAGCAATGCATTCTCGGGCTCCAATTACCATCTCAATAAAAGGAATTTCACTGAGCTACATTCCAGCTCTGGGTAGGTTGTTAGTGCACCGAGCTCTGAATCCATTGAACTAAGTTATAATCTTACGCGGGCAGTACAGCATGTAGGTTGCTGGCAGGCCATCTGCATATATTGGAAGGTTTTTTTTCTGTTCTTTCATCCTTGGCATTTATCCTGGAATGCTGCTGCCCTGCCACACGGATACACTATCACACTACCAAGATAAATATATATTTTTTATAAACAACTAGCTTTACTACCCGGCTTCGCACCGGGATTTGGATTCACCACGCCCGGCCGCCTTTGTCCCCCCAGTGGCGATGTTGACACACCACAGCAGTTACTCGTTTGAAGCTGAGTCGACCTTGGGGAGGCCCAGGACCGGTTCAAATAATCGTCACCGGTGGTGGCCGTGAGCGGGAATCGAACTCGGGTCGCCGGGCTCATAGCGCAGCGCAGCGCGCTAACCACTACACTACCGCTCCCCCCCCACACACACACACACGCGTCCATAGGTACACATATACGCGCTTGCTGCAGACACACACAACTTTCAGGGTGCGTACGGCAGTAAACGACTGAAATAATAAAGCAATGCTGCGCGAAGAACGCCTTAGACCTGCAACACATTTGTATTTCACTTTACCCGAGGAGGGTTGAGGGGGGGGCATGAGCAGGTACACTGCGTTACTCTTCCGCATACGGATCACATGACAGAGATGGGACGTCACAGCTCACTTGGCGTGCAAAATATATTCATTGTATTTTTATAAATTGTGCATGGTGTACAGTGTGGAAAGTACCCACACGTTCGTTGCATGTCGGGAAGTACGCTAAACATTTTGAACAGACACACATATTCACAAATTTCCCTTTTTTATATATATACAGATAACAATATTCTGATTGAGTCGAGGAGTTGGTCAAACGTCCTCAGCAAAACCCTCCTAAAACGTAGCCTTGAGACTCAGCAAGGTTTGTATGGGTGATTTTCGGGCTATGTGAGTAGTCCTTTGCCTGTGAAGCAATGAAAAACGTTGATAAGATAGTGTGAACAATGAAATAATAGAGGTGACCAAGTGGTTTAGGGGTCAAAGTGCAGTCTGTATCTCTTAGATCCTCATTTTGACTCCACCCACGAGTGAAACACTCTCAAGCAAAGCGAGCCGATGGTGTCAGCCTGACCAACAATATTATTGCTAAGCCAAACGTCACGAAATATTTGAGTTGTACAGTGTTCCAGCGCTGAATTAATGACATCGGTGTGACTGCAGGATTAACGTGGGGAACTTCAGCACTCCTTCGTGTGTGCTGCGCATATACTGCATTGTATAGCGGTTAGCGCGCTACGATGCGAACCCGGCGACCTGAGTTCGATTCCCGCTAACACCAGCGACGATCATCACACGTTTAATCACGGTGTGGGTATCAATGCAGTGTGTTACTATGCGTGGGTATGTATGTATGTCTGTGTGTGTGGGAGTCTGCCCCGTGACCTCCTGCCAGCTGGCTTTCGACACTTCACGTGGCCTCAAGGTGCACGTGGCCTGTCACAAGCGTCGTGGTGACGTCACCGCCACTTAGTTGTTGTGTTAGCGTGGGGAGTCATGGTGCAGTGGTTTGCGCACTGCGTTACGAACACCGTCCCCGCTGCTAACATCGGTGGTCATTTCAAATACTGTATATGATTGGGTCCTGGGCATCCCCTATGTTGACTCAGCCTCAAGTGAGTACCTACTGAGTGCGGTGTGTAAACATCGCTACTGGGGAGACAAAGGTGGTCGGGCGTGGTACTTGCCACCCCCCTCGTGTGTCGTGCCGGCCTTCATAGGCGCTCGCTGAAAAGTATATTATTGGTTCTTTCGGTAAAGTCACGTAGAAGGGAACACAATAAAATAATACAAATGTAAAACAATAAAATTCTCACGACGTTTCGACTGCAACACAAGCAATCATCATCAGGTGTGAAAACCACAGCAAGAAAGTAGTTGTGTGAAATCTACTTTCTCCACGGGGCCATTCTAAAACACGGTGCGAGGCGCTGCTGCGCCTTGGTTTGAGCGGGCACGTCGTCTGGACGCGCAACGCTTCGGGCCTATTGAAATAAAAGTGTCAATCTTGATTTGAAGCTTTCGTGACTGCAGGAATCCATACTCTTTGGTTCTTTCGGTAAAGTCACGTAGGTAAAAAAATATATATCACGACGTTTCGATCGCAAGCGGCCTGCGGACGACCGCTTGTGTTGCGATCGTGACTTTACCGAAATAACCAAAGAGTATGAAATAAAAGTGGTTAAAAAAAACACCACGAATACATATATATTTTTTGATCAAACTGCGTCAAAGGTCAAAGGTTCGACGAGGACGTCGAAGAGCCATGCCGAGCGCGCAACGGCTGCGAGCGAGGAATTTACTCTCGGTGAAAATTGCCCAATTTTTTTTCTGTACGCAGTTGCATTTTTTTTGGTGTTATTATAAAAGCACGCGCGTTCTGAATGCAATACTTTGTTGTCGAGATTGACTGTATAATTTAAATATATTCGAAACCTTTAAACGTGAGTTTTTTTCCCCCCTCGGTAACAAAGAAAAAGAAAACTATTTCCAATGAAAACATAGATTTGTTTTTTTAACCGCACGGAACTTGCTGTGTTAAAACGAAACAAAATGTGTTTTCAAAGCACAGAATTTTTTTTCTGGATTAAAAAAAAGTGGTTTGTGTATACAAAGTTAGCGGTTTCAATGAGAGCTCGCTGAGATTCATCATCTCTTCATCATTTACATATTTTATTTAGTCAGATTGAAATTCTGTGAAAAATTCATGATCCCTTACGATTGACACCGTTTACTTAATGATTTAAGATCCCGTTGAGATTCATCACCCCTTGTGATAAACGTCCTTTATTTACCCAAGTGATAGCTCTTTGAGTTGTGTTATGTATCGTGCCTGCCATCCTTTATTTAACCAGGCGACAGGTCATTGAGATACCTTAACTGTTGTGATCGGCGTCCTTTATTCAGCCAGGTGAGAGTACAGGGAGATGCATTATCTTGTCGTGACGAATGTCCATTATTTAACCATCGTGAGAAACCCATTGAGATTATTTTCTTTTCTCATTCACAAGAGACCGGTGGTGTACCACAGCACTGTATTCTTACACTGTCTATAATATTTGTAATGTGGGCTATGACACGGGCTCATGGGAGTTTGTGTGTCATGCGCACTTTCGTGTGACGCTGCATGTGAATATGACGTTGTTAAACATCCGGTTTACTGCGGGCTGGCCAAGGTTATGGCCCAAAGCCATAAACCATGCAGAGAGACACGCTCAACGCAAGCACGCACGCACACCTACACACAACACACACACACGCATATATATACATGCAAAAACATAAAAAAGTCAAAGATCACCGGTTTTTAGAATTTAACAGACTTGTGGGGGCAAGTGCTGTTGGCGCACGAGGGGGTCGGTGGCCAGCACCACGCCCGTC